ATTCGGTATTTTAAAGATTTTAGCCACATTTTCCAATGGAAAATTATATGACAAAAAATTATATGTGCAGGTCCACGTCTTCGTATAGCCCCCATATAACGGTAACTCCCTATATTCGGTATTTTGATGATTTTAGCGACATTATTCAGCGGAATTGTTTCAAATTACGTATTTAGAGTTCGTAATGGGAACTACAGCCTATGACAGAAAGTTGGCTGTGCATGTCCAGGTCTTAGTATAGGTCCCATACATCAGTAACTCCCTATATTCGGTATTTTGACGAGTTTAGGTACAATACCCGCCCGAATTGTTTGAGATGTCTATTTGAAGTTCGTAATGGATGTTACAGCCTGTGACAGAAAATTGCCTATGCTGGTCCAGGTCTTCGCACAACTCCGATATAACGTTACCTCCCTATATACGATATTTTGATGATTTTAGCTACATTATTCACCGTTTATTTCAAGTTTCGAATTTTAATATGGTAATGGCTTATGACAAACAAAGCCTACCGAGGTCCACATCGTGTAGACCCAAATATAACGGCTATAATCGGTATTTTTAAGATTTTAACATAATTTTTAACGGATTTTATTTTCTGAAAATCTCCAAATTCGTTCCAAATGACGGAGGGTATTAACTTGTTAATACTTCTTTATTATATATTCTTATAATTAGAACAGTTTTGGCATTTTCGTATAATGTATTTACAATTTTTTATTTGTTTGAAATATCAAAATGTAAAATTTTTTATATTTTTAATTTGTTTGAATATATTTTAAGAATTTTTTTTATAATGTTTAAATTAAATCAAGCAACCTATAAACTGAATAAAAATCATACATATATAGTCTGATAAACAGATTTACATTAAAAATAATATTATATTATACTACACTCTTATATTATGTCTATGAAAAATTGTTAATAGGATTTAAAAAAATCAAGAGAAAAACGTTAGTAAAATTAAATTTATATAGTTTTAAGACAAAAAAAAGCAAACACTTGTTACTGAGATTGAATGTTAGGCACTCCAAAAAAAGTAATAAAAACTGGAACGTTTTTTGTTAAGTATGACATTTTATAAAGCGTTTACATGTGAAATCTTTACCCGGTTTAACGTGAATAGTTGAACAATTAAAATTAAATTAAGTGGATAATTATCAGAGTTAACACCGATAAAGATTTATATGTAAACGTGTAAACTTTTAGTTTAAAAACAAAACTACCTGTTAAGAGAACTTATGATTAATTGAATAGAAGAAATTTCGAAATGACAGACGGTGGAGACAAATTGTTAGATGCACCCACTATAAAATTAGACGAGCATGGTTATGATAACTAAGAGAGTAATAATAATAATAATAAAAGCAACGTCATGTTGGAGACGCCATAAAGCGTTTACACGCAAAATCTGCATCCGGATTAAGCGCCATAATTAGCCAATCACAATAAATTTCACGTATGTTATTCATGGTCTAATTTATTGTGATTGGTGAATTTTCAAGGTTAACCCTGATAGAGATTCATAGGTTAAACGAAAATTAATACCTCATTTACACAAACAAAAATACTTATTACGTTTGAAATTAAATTAAATATATATACATATTAAGATTAAGAGTTATATTCGTTTTACGACAAAACAAAATATACCTCACAATGTTATTGCTAACGGAAAAAAGATGGCAATTGCAATATAAATAATGATAAATAAAACAAGAGATAAATATTTAATCGCAAGTATTTTAATTTATAAGGACCAAATATCGGGTGAGAAACTAGAATAAATTTTCCACATTATTGGAAGCGATTGACACAAAGTTTTTGCCGGTAGTTTGTTTGTTTATCTTTGCTCCAGTTTATCATTCGTAAGTGATTGTAATATGTTTACAGCATTAAGTACATCATGAAATACAATACCTTTACCTAGGTTATCCGTGATAATCAACCCACCATATAAGATGTAATGCCATAAAAGCGCTATTAAAGGTTTTGAATGGGTGAGATGAAACAACTGCAACCAACTTCAGACTGCTGTCATTTCCAAGCCACTCGTCCGACAGCTGTTAAAATTATTCCAGTGACAGCTCATTATATTGTTTACAAGCGTACAAAATAATTTTGGTGAGAATTTTCCAGAAAAAAAGTTATTCGTGATGGAATTTAAGCGTGATTTCTATAAATTTGGCTGGAAAACCACAAGTGGCTATCGTCAGGGCACTCCAGCATTTAAATTTGAATAAATCTTTTGTGTCTCGTACCATTGCTCGTTACCGTGATACTAGTAGCGTAGCCCAGTGACGTCAAGGAAATGGACTGAAGAAAACAGCAACATCATCAGAAATGGTTCGAAAAGTAAAGAAACGACTTGATCGAAAACCGCGTCGTAGTGGCCGAAAAATGTCTCGTGTGCTGAACATATCGCAATATTCCATTCGTCAAATATTGAAAAATGAGCTCTGGGTAAAGCCATTGAAATTCCAAAAAGTACAAGAATTTACACCGCAACAGAAAGAAAATAGACTCAAAAGAGCTAAAGAGTTGCTTCGCTTGGCCGAAAGTGGTGAACTGCCGAATTTGGTTTTCTCCGATGAGAAAACATTCGTTGTCCAGCAGTTTGTAAACAAACAAAATGATCGTGTTTACTTGCCAAAGAAGTCAGTTGAAAATGTTCACCTTCGGTTGACCACCAGAACTCAAGCATCATTGCACTCAGTACGTGCCACCAAAGTATGGTTCCAAAATTAGGTTCCTCACTTCAATGGCAGCGCACAATGGCCACCAAAATCTCCGGATACCAATACTTGGGAAAGCAAGTTTGGCACTCAAAAATACCAATGTGTCGATCACCTCAAGCAAGCGCCTCACCGGGAATGGGACAAAATACCGCAGAGCAACATTCGGGCAGCGTGTGACGGTTTCATTGGCCGTTTGAAGGCCATAATTCGTGCCGAAGGTGACCAATTCGAACAAATCTAAACTTATTCTAGAATTTGATGCTATTTCCGACATGTTTTGCTTTCATTCAATAAAATTCAAAAAAAATAGAAAAATTATGGCGTTTGACTTTGAATTCGGTCGGAAGTGCCAAACTTCTGGTCATTTGGTGCACAATTAACTCGAAATCGGTTGAAGATATATATGGGAGCTATATCTGAATTTAAACCGATTCTCATCAATTTCAATAGGGTTCGTTTTTGGGCTAAACAAATATTGTTTGAAAAGTTTCAACTCATTCGGATAATAAATGCGACCTGCATTTTGTTCACAAAAATACATGGACAGACGGACTGACTGACATGCATAAATCGACTCCGAAAGTGATCTTATGAAGATCCTCAAAAGTAACTATGGGTCTGTCCTGCTTCATTCGCCATTTTGCAAACAAATGCGCAAAAACATAATACCCTTACCACAATGTGGTGTAGGGTATATATACAAAATATGGCAGCATGACTTCAGTAAACTACGTTAAATGATAAAATGACGATGATTTGACTTATTTTCTTATAGGACAGTTCATATATAAATGAAACTTACAATAACGAAAAACGATTTATATGTCCGACAACATTTCGACAACATTTATCAGTCGGAAAGATGTTATAACCGGCCTTAGTCTTTATTATCTTAGGAGAATATGAATTCTACTCAGCTGATGTTTGTTTGCGTATACATACACAACCAAAAGAGAATGCCACAAGTTAAAAAGCAGTAAGTTCGGCCGGGCTAAACTTTGAATACCCTCCACCATTTGGAACGAATTTGGAAATTTTAAAAAATTAAAATCCGTAAAAAATTCTGTTAAGATCTTAAAAATACGGAATATAGCCGTTATTTTGGAGTTTATACGATGTGGACCTACATAGGCATTGTTTGTCATAAACCATTACCAAATTCAAATTCGAAACTTGAAATTAACGGTTAATAATGTAGCTAAAATCATCAAAATACCGAATATAGGGAGGTACTGTTATATCGGAGCTATACGAAGATCTGGACCTGTATAGACAATTTTCTGTCACAGGCTGTAGCATCCATTACGAACTTCAAATACGACATCTCAGACAATTTCGGTGGGTATTGTACCTTAAATCGTCAAAATACCGAATATAGTGAGGTACCGTTACATGGGGGCTATACGAAGACCTGGACCTGCATAGACAATTTTCTGTCATAGGATGTAGTATCCGGTTAATAATGACGCTAAAATACTCAAAATACCGAATATAGGGAGGTACCATTACATGGAGGCTATACGAAGACGTCGACCTGCACAGACAATTTTCTGTCAAAGGCTGTAGTATCCATTACGAACTTCAACTACCAAATTTGAAACAATTCCGGTGAATAATGTCGCTAAAATCATCAAAATACCGAATATAGGAGGTACCGTTATATGGGGACTGTACGAAAACGTGGACCTGCACAGACAATATTCTGTCTTAGGCTGTAGTATCTATTTCGAATTTCAAATACCAAATTTGAAGTAATTCCGGTGAATAATGTCGCTAAAATCATCAAAGTACCAAATATCGGGAGGTGAAAACGTGACCCTACATGACGCATTTTCCTTGCCTACTGGCAAAATAAACATGCGTGCAAAATATTTTACAGGAGCAAAAATTTTCCACTACAGGAACTGGATTCTTTGTCCATAAAAATATGAAATGAAAAATATTTCCCTTATAATATTTTCCATTTCACATTTCATTCCCTTATAAAAGTTTCAATTTCACATTTTCACAGAACAAGAGCTGAAACCCAGGTCTCCGGTTTGGTATAGCTAATATGAAACTGTTCTTTCCTATTTTAATAATATCGAGGTTATTTGTAACATCCCACATTAGATTATGTATATGTGGTACCTACCTTTTAAAGCCTGAACTTTCAAAATTGTTCTTCAAAAATAAATAGATTCCAAATTCTTTCCTTTAACATATAAAAGCTCGCCTCGCTCTTGCATTTCGGTATATAACTACAATATTTTTTTAATGTAATGCAATGTAAGATTGTTTGTTTGTGAATTGGTTTTGTGTATGTGTATGTGTGTTTCTGTGTGTATAAGTACAATTTACTCTTAATATACTATTTTATACAACTACAAATTACAATAGTAATAATAAATGTTTATTACTTAATTCAATTCATCAAATATTAACAAACATCATCCAAGGCCTCATCTTCATCCAGACTGGGTCCAATTTCAACAAATCCCTCTTCGGCGATATCGGGACCACTGTCAACTCTGGAAAATGAGACAAATGTAAAACTTAAAAATTAACAAATGTAAAGAGCTTTAGATAGATTTATTACACGGAGGCATAGCGTTGCTTTGCGAACACTTCTATGTACGTACTTTTCAAAATCACATTGCGGCAAAAGACCCTCATCCTTGCTTATCGTGTTGCTAAAGCGAAAGACCAGACACAGCCGCAGCACTGCCACCAAGATGAGTAAACCACCGGCTACATAGCTCAGCCATAAATTGTGGGGCCACAGCATAAGAGCAATGCCAATTGTAAGGTACGGCAGGGATAGACGCCAACTGCCGAAGTATTTGCTCAGCTCCCAGCAACGTAAACACTTGGAATAGTTATCGCTAAACGATGGAGGAGTGGTGGTGGGTGAGGAGGAAGGAGACGGATATTGGATATTAGTTAGTAATTTGCTTTTGTGTTCAAAAGTTCACAGAGACTACAGGAGGTTAAACAGATATTACAACAGCAGCAACAACAACTATTAAATTGTCTGAGTAGTAGTAGTTGTTGTTGTTATTGCTGCTGTTGTTGTTTTCATTTTTGCTTACTTGCCAAATATTAATTGAAGAAAAAGAGTTATGACCCATTTGATTTCAAAGAATAAAATAATTATTGATGAAATCCTGCACGGAGAAATCGAAGAAACAAACGAGAGAAATGAGAAAGAGAGAGCGTGAGCGTGAGTGGGGGAGTGAGATTAAATATAAAATCAAGTAAATTATGGATGTCGAAGATTAACAACCACAATTGTCTGTAATTGACAATCAGAAAACCATGGCTATTAATTAAATATTGTATTTGTTCATTTTGAAAGTGGTATAAGTGCAGTTAGGTAAAAAATGTTAAATTAGTACTAAAAAATTATACAAAAACAAGGTAAAAAGAATCAGTCGGTTTTGCCGATAGATGTATACTCTCAGCCAATGCTCGATTATTTAAATATATTTTGACTTCTGTTATGATTATTCAAATTTTTCACCCTCTATGGATAGGTTCCGACCAATATTGGCAATTTCGTATCGGACCTAAATAAATATGATATAAATACTGCGACGTATCAGGTTTGGACTATATTGGTTACTTCCTTTAATTTACATGAGATATGTGATAATTTTTTAGAAAATGTTAAAATGTGCTTGAGGAACCAGATATAGGCGACCGAAGTATTCTATTTTCATACTTCATTTTATACTTCATAATAATATTGGTATGGACCAACATATCCCATTTTCACACCAGACCTTGGGATAGTAAAAATATTGTGATTTGTGCAATTTGAAGAGAAGCGGATGATTATTTCGGAATTTATGACCGTTTTGGTTCTCCAAAACTTTGGCCCTTTGTGTGGGAGGTACCACAGGGAACGGTCGGATCTCTACTATCTTTACAACAGATATTGGGTTGATGGAAATATTCCGATGTGCCAAGTCTGAATGGAATCGAATTTTTATTTCGCTTCATGAATATTCATAATTTTGAACCTTTGTGGGGAGGTACCAGATGGAGTGGACCGATATTTTCCCCTTTGCCCAGAAGGTGTGAACCGATATTGCCCATCTCGGATCTCGATCTAAGTTCGACAATAATATTACGATGTCCGAAGTTTCGATCAAATCGGATACTCTCTTCGAGAGTTACCGTGCGCACCAGCCAGACAGACGGACGGACATCGCTAGATCGACTCCAAATGTCCTAAGACGGATTTGGTCCAAAGAGATCTAGGGTCTAAAACCATTATTTTGATGCGACACGTTTTGGCCGTATGAAATGATATCCAAGGTGAGATAAAAACAACTGAAACAAAGTCAAACGCCACAATTTTTTTTATTTTTTTTTTTAATTTTATTGAATGAAAGCAAAAAATGTCGGAAATAGCATCAAATTTTAGAATAAGTTTAGAATTTTTCGAATTGGTCACCTTGGGCACGAATTATGACCTTCAAACAGCAAAAGAAACCGTTTCACGCTGCCCAAATGTTGCTCTGCGATATTTTGGTCCATTCCTGGCGAAGCGCTTGCTTGAGGTGATCGACACTTTGGTATTTTTTAGTGCCAACCTTGTTTTGCAAAATACTCCAGACACAATAGTCCAACGGATTGGTATCTGGAGATTTTGGTGGCGATTGTGCGCTGGAAATGAAGCGAGGAACCTCATTTTGTAACCATTCTTGGGTGGCGCGTGCTGAGTCCTGTTGGAATGTCCCAGGTCTGCGGCCAAAATGTTTGCGTGCCCAAGGCTTTAATACACCCTCCAGAATATTTTCGAGATAATATTCGACATTTATTCCGATGCCACGGTCAATTAATATGAGCGGAGAGCGACCATAGGCTATTATGGCAGTTCATATTATCACCAATTCTGGTGGCCAACCGGTGGTGCACATTTTCAGCTGAACTCTTTGGCAAGTAATAACGATCATTTAGTTTGTTTACAAACTGCTGGACCACGAATGTTTTCTCATCGGAGAAACCCAAATTCGGGATTTCACCACTTTCGGCCAAGCAAAGCAACTCTTTAGCTCTTTTGTGTCTATTTTCTTTCTGATGCGGTGTAAGTTCTTGCACTTTTTGGAATTTTAATGGCTTAACCTCGAGCTCATTTTTCAATTTTGCCTAATGGAATATTGCGATATGTCCAACATCATTTATTCACATTTAAATGCTGGAGTGCTCTAACGATAGCCACTTGTGGTTTTCCGGCCAAATAAAAAGAAATCAAACTATCACGCTTGAATTCCATCACGAATAAATTGTGTGAAGCGCCTTAAGGTATGTTATTAAAATGCTTAAAATAAATGTAGAAAAGTAGCTTTACATGTGACTCTAACATTATGTGTATTCTAGCCTTAAGAAATAAGTTGGTGGACAAATGTGAAACTCATTCGAATTCGAGCCGAAGTTTATTGAAAGAATTGAAAATAAATCGAGTATAATCTTATTTTTTGATATCCCTCCAATAAGTGTAACGACAAAATTTTTCTCCTTGAGCTAAAATACTTCGACAGGGTCCAAGAATTCTGTATGAACTTTAATTTAATTTATTTCTTTTGAGGCAGAAAAAGAAAGACAGGTTTTTTGTTTAATATTACGTTGAGTACTGGCGAGCCCTCCAACATAATACAAAAGAGTGGAGAGTACTACTTCTCGCTAGTATCTTTTTTCCGCGAGTAAAATTTAAAAAATCTGAACTTTGTCAAATCCTCATTCTGTCAAAGTACAATTCTACAGAGTTCGTTTTCGTTTGGATCTCTTAATCTACTTTCAATGTATGAGTACTGCTCGTATTTGTCGCTACCCAATTTTGTTTTTTTACTATCTCCCACTTATACCACTTTCTCAATTATCCGCTCACTACTAAATCCATAGATATACATTACAAATAGCAAATATTTGCTGTATACTTACAATATCAATAGTCCCGCCTGATACCCATGCACATAGACATCGACTCCAACGCCGCAAATAACTGAAATTAAATCAAAAACATGTTTCCTTTTCAAATATTCCATTTAATGGCAGTTGGTTGACGAGACAATACATTTACAACAAGGATTACAATATTTATGATATTGGTTTAGTTACGATGGCAGTGTCTGCTGGTATCGCAGATTAATTAAGTTGTTCGAATTACAGACTAGAACTAAATTACGAGTATGGAACGAATTTAATGATTTGTGGGGGGTAAATTGAAAGTAGAGGATTTTTCTTAATTAAACTAAGATAAGTCAATAAAAATACAGCTAAATATATATTTTTACTCGTTGAAAAAACAAATTGGGAAATAGAATGGGAGTTTTGATAATACATGGGTTTAAATACACTCAATCTATATTTATAAACCAGTAAGGAAAGGTCGAAAGTCGGACGGAACCACTATGCATATTTAGTAGAGCTCCCGTAACAAAAAAGTTTATATTGGCAATTTATGTGAATATGAACCAAATAACATTGCTGTATAGTGCATGATATGACTTCGATAAGAATCATTTTAAAAGGTATTTATTGGAGCATTCGACATACCGGACCGATTTTCATCAAATGGAAAAATGCGGTTGAATATGAAAAAATCTATTCAATTTGAGCTGATATGGTGGACAATAACCGTAAAATGGGATGAAAATGTATATCGAAGATATATACAAATCTAAACCGATATTCATAAATTCTCGCAGAGGTATTTTCAATCCGTATCAAATATCATTGTTGTGGAGTGCATATTACGCATGTGATGTGCTTTTACCACTAAATCAGATGAAACATATATATGGGAGCTATAGCTTTACTGGATCGATTTTCACCAAATTTGATGTACTTGTTTCTAGACTGTATTCGATCGGATGTGTCATAAATAGAGATATATATGGGAGATATCGAAATCGGAACCGATTTCGAAAAAAATGTTAAACACTTATTTCTGAGCTGTACAGGGTTGCCCATATTCGACGGACCTTTGGGCCCTTTGGGCCCATTCCAATCGACGGGGCTTGTCCGCAACATTCTTTGCGTCAATTGAATTTTGTACGGGAACAAATGCAAATCAATGCGAATAATCCGTTGTAAAGTGGACCGAGCCATGCCCAACTGCTGAGAACGGCGTTTTTGGGATGTTCTTGGGGACCTCTCAACACTGGCTCGTACGGCAGCGATATTCTCGAGCGATCGCCTTGGTCGACTTTTATATGGCCTCTTCGGATTAGAAAGAGCCTTACCAGTCGAGTATAAACGCTTAATGGTGTTCTTAGTAGGCGCACTTCTCACATTTTTTAATGTTTTAAAAGCACGTTGAGTTTTCACAATTGATTTTTCTGTTGAATGTAAATTTCAGAGCGCTCGCGTGGCGTGTATTGGTTTATGGTAAGAATCTGCTTGCACTGACGCTTTAAACGCGGTATGTCATTAAGCTATGTGACATATCTGTCAAAAGTTATGGCGTTGCCAGATGGGTCCGTCGAATATGGCAACCCTGTATCTGATATCCGGTACCTAAGATTATTGTTGTGGAGGGCATATTACGCATGTCAGGGACTTAAAATCGCAATTCGTATACAACATGTATATGGGAGCTATAGCTATATCTGAACCGATTTTCAGGTCATTTGGACTGATATTTCCCATTTGGTGCACAATTAACTCGAAATCGGTTGAAGATATATCAAAATTTGAACCGATTCTCACCAATGTAAAAGACATAATATCCTTACAAGTATGTAGTGTGAGAATAAAAAGTAGTGAAATAACGGACCGACTGAATGACCGAGAATCAAAGCCCAAACGAAACGGCTGCATCTAGGGTCTAGGTAGGTAAACGGCACGAGGGTCAGTCTTGGTGTGTTAGCGTGTGAAAAATCCAGGTTTTTCGAAAATCTCACTAAAGGAATGAAAAAGTACTAAACTGTACTAAAACTGGAATACATTGTATTGGATAAATGGGTCACTGATGGAGTGCAGGATATATGTACCAGAGGGTTTTTGAAAATTAGACATTTAAGTTTACGAAAAGTTCTGAAATGGTACCATTTGATATTATGTGAACGGAAAACATGAAATTTTGTATAAAAATCAAGATTGGAAAGTAAGCTTGATATATCAAGTTGGTTTTGAAAATATGTACTAAGTGCTATAAGACACTAAATTTGGAACAGTTTGGTTTAAGGTATCCACTTACCTTGGAATTTTGAAATTTTGTATTGGGATTCCTGTTGGTGGTAGGTTTGTGATAAGGAGGTGATTTTGGAAATGAGTAGTACAAGTACACGAAAAGTACTAAATAGTACGATATTTGATACAATTTGGTTTCGGAAATGTGTACTATAATTGTACGAAAAGTACCAAATTGTAGTAAAATTGGTATTGGGTGAGAGATAAATATAAAATTCTAAAATTTGATATTTAGGTTACTGATGGTATCTGTGTGAGATTTAGCTGTGGTTTGGAAACGCGTCCAATATTTGTATGAAAACTACTAAATGGTACTAAATTTGATATTGGTTGAGGGAATAGAACTGGAATCCTGAAATTTGATATTTAGGTGTCTGTTGGTATCTTGAATTTAGATATGGAGGTAAGGGTTGTAATTCGACAAAAAGAAATTTGATATTTGGATTAATGATGGTATATGTGTTTGAGATTTGGCGGTGGTTTTGGAAATGTGTACTATAATTGTACGAAAGTGACAAAATAGTACTAAATTGCATATTTAAGGAAAGGATAGGGCTGGAATCCTCAAATTTTGATATCTGTTGGTATCTGATGATGAGATCTGGTGGTGGTTTTGGAAATGTGTACTAAATTTTTACGGAAAGTACTAAATTTGGTATTAAGCGAAGTAATATCGCTGAAATCCGATATACAGGGTGAGATAAAAAAACTGCAACAAAGTCATACGCTATAATTTTTAAATTTTATTGAATGAAAGCCAAAAATGCCGGAAATAGCATCAAATTATAGAATAAGTTTAGATTTGTTCGAATTGATCACCTTTGGCATGAATTATGGCCTTAAAATTGCAAATGAAGTCGTCACACGCTGCCCGAATGTTACTCTGCGTTATTTTATCCCATTCGCGGCGAAGCGCGTGTTTGAGATGATCGACACTTTGGTATTTTTTAGTGCCAACATTGCTTTCCAAAATACTCCAGGCACAATAGTCCAACGGATTGGTATTAGGAGATTTTGGTGGTCACCGTGCGCGGAAAATGAAGCGAGGAACCTCATTTTGCAAACCATTCTTGGGTGGCGCGTGCTGAGTGCGATGCTGCTGAGTCCTGTTGGAATGTCCAAGGCCAAAATGTTTGTGTGCCCAAGGCTTCAATACAACCTCCAGAATATTTTTGCGATAATATTCGACATTTATTCTGATGCCACAGTCGATTAATACGAGCGGAGAGCGACCATCGGCTGTTATGGCGACCACACCATCACCATGGCCGGCGCTTGAGTTCTGGTGGCCAACCGAAGGTGCACATTTTCAGCTGACCTCTTTGGCAAGTAAACACGATCATTTTGTTTGTTTACAAACTGCTGGACAACGAAAACATTCGTTGTCCATCGGAGAAACCCAAATTCGGCAGTTAACCACTTTCGGCCAAGCGAAGCAACTTTTTAGCTCTTTTGAGTCTCTTTTCTTTCTGTTGCGGTGTAAGTTCTTGCACTTTTTAGAATTTCAATGGCTTTACCCCGAGCTCATTTTCCAATATTTGCCGAATGGAATATTGCGATACGTTCAACTCACAAGCCATTTTTCGGACACTGCAACGCGGGTATCGATCAAGTCGATGCTGATGTTGCTGTTTTCTTCCGTCCACTTCCTTGACGTCGGGCTACGCTACCAGTATCACGGTAACGAGCGATAGTACGAGACACAAAAGATTTATTCACATTTAAATGCTGGAGTGCTCTAACGATAGCCGCTTGTGGTTTTCCAGCCAAATATAAAGAAATCACACTATCACGCGTGAATTCCATCACGAATAACTTCTTTCTGGAAAATTCTCAGCAAAATGCTTTCGTACGCTTGGAAACAATATAATGAGCTTTCACTGGAATGTTTTTAACATCTGTCTGAAATTGGTTTCAGTTTTTTCATCTCACCCTGCAATTGCTTGATTTTAGAAGAGAAAAAATCAATTCAAATTCAAATATGGAACACAAGACACGAGGAATGATCTCTCGGGAAAAATGCGTTGCGTGGGATGATTACATACCATGCATGGTAGAAGAATACAGGTAGACGCATCGACACAGCGGCTGGGACAATGAAATGTCAAACCAATTTTGAATTTGAAAAATTTGAATGAAAAGTTGTTCAAATTCTAAAAATTTAAAAAAAAAATGCATATTATAACTACCTCCGATTGGTGTAGTTTAAGAAAACTTATAAAAATATAACTATTTTTGAAAAAAAAAAAAAAAACATTTTAAAAATTTTGACATATCAATGTTCCCAAGCTGCGTGTTCTACCATGTTATATACAGACCAATTCAATTTTACTTCCGATCTGTTCCTTCTTCGGCTTTATTTACGTTTTTTAAGTTATTTAACTTGTTATACTTAGGCTATATATAGTTCAGTTGTACCTTTTTTCAGACTCGCTCTTGAAAAGAAATTCCATTTACATATACAACTGCTGTTTAAAAAATCCCCTCCTCAAACGCCATAAACTATTTATTGATTTTTTGCCTAAGCCAAAAAATTGAACTTTTCCATTGAAAAAATATTACATTTCCACTCAATTTTCTTTAATCTCAAACTCCGAAAAATACAAACTGAAATACACCCAAACCAAATCAATATCCATCTGGATGTATGTGTGTTTTCATGTACGTCTGTGTTTATTTGTGTGTGTGTGTGTGTTTTTTTTTTGCGAACAAGAAAATATGTCGTTAATGCCTTTTTGTAGAGATATGATCAGGATGGAAATCCAATCAAACGGCATTATGCATAAAGGATTACCAAATCATGAAAGA